GCAAAATAATGCACTCATCATATGCCCGTTTATTTCTTCTACCAAGGATGGGGCCAAAGTTGTTTGCGTTTTCGTACGCAACTCAAGCTACAGAAGGTGAATATCGCTGTCCAAAAGAAAAACAACGTTCTTTGGGTAGAAGCACTTAGGAAGAGAAGTTGTATAACTGCTTTGTTACTTAGTTTAATTTTGGAAAAAAATGCGGTAACTTTTTGTCTCTGAGTTGGTTGAGCCTAAGCACGGATATAGATGACAAAAAGCATTTGAACGTCAAGAAAGTTTATGCATGTGTGATTTAAACAAGTGTATTTGATTGAGTGTTTGTAATGAGTAGTACTAGTTTCCTAGGCTGCTGTTATAACATGGGCACAACGCGTGGTGCTTAAACAACGAATTTATTGTCACATTTTCTGGAAAGGTTTAGAGCTCAAAACCAAGATGCAGTTAGCCATGCTCCCGTCGTGAGAGCTGTAGAGAATCTGTCCTTACCTCTTTCAGAGCTTCTTGTGGTTCTGACAATTCTTTGTTCCTTGCTGTAGCTGCAGCACTTCCGATTTCTGTCTGCTATCACCATGACCCCGGCCCTTGTGGTCTGGTGTGTTTGTGGTCTCTTCTTGTTGTGGGGAGTTAACATTCATATCTGGATGGGGCCGCACATCTACTCAGAATGCCTCATTTTCATTACCTACAAGGACCCTCTTTCCAGAAAAGGGCTTCATCTGAAAAGTCCCCTGGGTTGTAGGACCTTCTGGGGGAGCAATTCAAAAAAGTGCCGCTATTGCATGGATGTATAAATGGCATGTCCCTGATGCGTTCTAGGATGCAAGTCACATTTTCTCTTCATGAAAGTGCCAGATTCATGAGAGGAGAAAAGAAGTGGTACGGTAGCAGTGTGCCTTTGTCTTGTAGTTTGTGAAGAAAAGCAAACAGAATTCAAAAAGTGTGACTTTGGGTTAAAGGTAAAAATAAAAAGTGAGGGTGTATTCATTCTGCTGCTCTTTGTGGTTAGAATATTCATCCAGTTCAGCCTTCCCTATATATGATTTCCTGTCTTTCCAATCATCTTTGCAAAAATTCC